TTCTTCATTCATCCAAGATCATTTGAGCTTTGGCGTGCATTCCCACAAGTGTTAGTCATCGATGCCACATATAAAACAAATAGGTACCTTAAAATGCATGTCTATTATGTTAATGTCAATATTATTATTTTTTAACATTATTATTTTCTTTAACATCATTATTTTGTTAATTTATTATTCAGGTACAACATGCCTCTTCTTGAGATAGTTGGTGTAACATCGACCAACCTGACATTTTGCATAGCATTTGTTTTCATGCATCAAGAAAAGATATCAAATTATACTTGGGCGTTAGATTGTCTAAAGTCCAAAATATGCGATAACTTTTACCCAGTTGTCATAGTCACACACAGAGAGTTGGCATTGATTAAAGCATGCGGAGTGGTATTTCCGGGTGCAATTACTTGAATCTCAAAATCAGGAATGGTACACGTACAACTTGGGACAACTTCAAGAATATCTGCTCGCCTATCCAGGTATTCTTGATATAAGATAGTTTAATCATTGTTACTAAAGATGTTATGAATTACTTGAACAATGTATGGTTGACACCATATAAAGAAATGTTTGTATMTGCTTGGGTTGATCAGGTTTTAAACTTTGGAAATCACACAACAAACAAAGTTGAAAGCCAACATTCCAAACTAAAATTATTTTTGGAAACTTCCCGAGCAGACTTACAAAGAATTTTATCTCACATCCATCAAGTAATCCAGTCACAGGACACATCGATTAAAGCAAGTTTTGAACAATGCAGAACGATTAGGAAACACCGATTTGGAAACTCACACTTTCAAAATTTGTGGGGATTTGTTTCATTTCATGCACTTGATATGATTTACACTGAAAATGAACGGTCTTTCCAAACTAGCGTATTTTCTGAAAAGTGTGGTTGTAAATTGCATAGAAGTCATGGGTTGCCTTGTGCTCATGAACAAGCACTGTATACATGTCAAGGCATACCCATTCCACTTGATGCAATCGATATTTTTGGAAAAAACTTGATTTTTCACCATGTGTGTCCACACAAGATGACGAGATTGGATGTGATGATGAAGTTCAATTGTTCAAAGAAAAATTTAATAAGCAGTTGTATCATGGTCGTAAAAGCTTACTCAGAAAGTTGAAGGATATAATAATGTCATCAAAACCGTTCGATGAACCCTCGGTTCATAGAACCACTCGTGGCCGTCCATCTACAAAGAGTCAAGCTTTGAATAAAAGAATTATTGAAGACCGTAGACGTAGTTGTTCTAACGTGCTATCAGTTATTAACTCTGAAGATTTGAGGCATCAAGAATCAACGAGGCATAGTTCTTATTTCCAACGACAACCCACCACCCGACATCCGTATCTTGATCAAATCCCGAGTTTATTTCATCCATACGTCATACAAATACAAGATGTATTAGGCGATGGAAATTGTGGATTTCGAGCGATATCTACTTGTCTGGGTGGTCATGAAGACGAATGAGACAATATCCGCAAAGAGTTAATGATTGAACTAACTGAATATGGACAATATTACTCCTATGTGATTGGCGATGAGTGCTTACGCATTCACGAAGCGCTAATTTTTTTCCAAAAGGGCGTCTTTGCACCAGTTGCGCATTGGATTGTTATGCCTGAAATGGCCATTCTAACGGCTTCAAGGTTCAATGTCATACTGCATGTTCTCAATATGGCAGGCAGTGTGACATACTTACCGTTTAGGACACAACCTCCGTCGTCATCTCAACACGTGGCAATTGCAATAGTGCATGTTAATGGTAACCATTACATAAATGTTGTATTAAATGGAGAATATCCAATGCCCACACTTACGCACCATTGGACATGTTATCGTTTTGAAGATGCAAGTACATGGATTGTCCCGTATCAACATAGATTCAATGCATATGAAGAATATATAGAGCGTACTCTTACTCGTGAATATGYTGATTTAACATGAAAAATCAAAGTTTTAATTAATAAATTTAATTTATATTTGAAATATGTATTATTAATATTTTATTATTATATAGAGCGTACTCTTACTCGTRAATATGTTGATTTAAYATGAAAAATCAAAGTTTTAATTAATAAATTTAATTTATATTTGAAATATGTATTATTAATATTTTATTATTATATAGAGCGTACTCTTACTCGTRAATATGTTGATTTAAYATGAAAAATCAAAGTTTTAATTAATAAATTTAATTTATATTTGAAATATGTATTATTAATATTTTATTATTATATAGAGCGTACTCTTACTCGTAAATATGTTGATTTAATATGAAAAATCAAAGTTTTAATTAATAAATTTAATTTATATTTGAAATATGTATTATTAATATTTAATTAATTAATAATAATATAAAACATGTTAAAAAAGTAAAGGGTTAAAAGTTAAAATATAAAAAGGTTAGGGTTAAAAGTTAAAATATAAAAAGGTTAAAAATGAAAATATTTGAGTTTTGTCATTTAGTTGTTTTTTTGTCCATTAGTAAAAGGGGGTGCATAAAATTGGTAGGAGGGGGTGGGGTTAGAAAACCCCAAATATTATTGATATCACACTGGTGTAAGGGATATTTGCAAAAACTGATGTGTCACTTTTGAAAGATGATTAGGATTCCAATGGTATGGATGATCTAAGTTAATGTTTTGTTACTAAAAAGGTCATCTTTAATAAGTTTAACTTTTTGAATATGTACTTTAGATAGCTTTTTGAAAAGCTAATTTAACAAGTTTCATAGGTTTTTTTTACTTTTTTTTTCAATTACGTCAATTATACTTAATTGAGTAATTTTTCAATATGTCTTTATAGGTAATCTTATATTATCATCTAATTTATCAACATTTTTTTTTTCTGCAAACATGACTACTTTATTGGCTACTAATTAGTTTATTAGCCAAAAAAAGACTTTTCGACTATTTTCTCAAACATAACTTTAAACAAATACCGTAATGGATCACGGCCCAATGGAACAAAAGATATTAAAAACAAAAATTACCAATACGATTAGGGATAATCTTAGGGGCGGAGGCGGAAAAATCTATGCCTTGATTCTTATATTTGCACTCATTTCTATCCTTTTGCATTTCACTTTCGCATCGATTTCATCCCCCTTATCATCAACAATTTGCTTTTCACTTATATCTCTCATTCAGTGTGTAAATGATATTTCTTTATTCTAGTTCTTTTATTGTCAATTTGATTAGGATATATTCACTGTAAGAGAATTTACGTTCTTCTATTTTTCTAATCGATTTGATTTCTAAACAGTTTATGCTCGCAATAATCTAATTTACGTCAATCCGAAATCATTTTCTTCCATTTTAGGAGGTAAAAGATTCTATCAATATTTATCCTTTTTATTAAATTTGCAATCTAAATGAAAAAAATATCGCGTTATGCTTGTAAATTCAAAAATCTTTTTGACACATTCATTTCGTGTTGCAAAGGGTTGATGCTCACTATAATCTAACTTACATTAAGCTGAAATCATTTTCTACCATTCTGTAAGGTAAAAGATTTATTGATAGTATTAGATATGCACTCTAAATAAATAAAAAAAAAAAGAATTTGTAGTTATATCATTTTATGGCTAATTGCTTAATGTGGAATGTCCATCTCTTTATAGATTCTAATTGTGTTTATGGTTGCTAAAGTGATATTGAGGGTTACTTTGCCTTTGCCTTTTACTCAAATTTTGTTACCTTACAACTACTTTCTTCAACCCTTGCAAAGTTGTGACTCGAAATTGGTGGTGCTGGTGGTGTTGGCAACGAGGTGGTGAGAATTTAGTTGGATTCCAAGGTTATTTTTGTCTTTTTAAATCAAATATGAAATCCATTACATTTGCCAAGGAAAGGAGTTCAAATTCCTTAGCTTTGACCAAGGAATGATCAAGTCCCTCAGTTGCATAATTTGACGGAATTTGATTAGTTCAATCAACGAACCAGGATAAAGGAATTTGCCATTCAAATTCCACGAACTAAGTGTTCCCCTATAGTTTTTAAGGACGTTTTTCTCAAACCGTGTTGTCAAAAGATGTAATAAATAACTAAAATTGAGATACAAAACCAAGAAAACCAAATATGCATAATCATAGTTACCATTCATTGTTTCAGAAGTAACAAGATGAAAATCCATAAGTGAGTCATCAGGTTCGAAGCTCGATACCATTCGCCTATCTCAACGACACTGCGATTTTCCTTCCCCATGATGGCCATTAGATCGGTACCATAGGATCACGACAAATGTTGGCATATAGCCTTTCTATTCTCTGATCATAGAGAAAACTCAAGACCGAGTAAATCATGTATATTATCAATGTATCATTAAATAAATTTGTACATATACCTGTTAAAACCAAACTGAGCATATCTAATATATCCCCTTCAAAAGTAGAGTTTGAGAGATTTCCTCTACCCGGTATACGTTTGTTCTCTCCTTTGATGTTTTTACCAGATTTACACACATTAGTTAAATCTTCATAGCCATCAATACCAATCTACATGTTTGGTTGATACATTGGGTTGCTTCTTCGGCTTCGTGTACCGATTATTCTCAAACCTGGCTTTTACAATGAGTGCGTAAAGCAACTCCGCCTCAGCTGAGCAATCAAAAGGCACATTCAAGATGCTACAAAAGCAAATATACACAGATATATGAGATAAGAAAGGATAAATCGTCAATTTAGTTCAACAACTAGACAAAAGGATATAGAATTTTAATAGGGAAATTGCATAAAAATGCAATGTACTTTGGTCTAATTCTTTTTCTGTGTCGTACTTCTAAAACCTTCATTTCGATACATGAGATACAATAAACATTTAGACCAAAGTATGATACATAAAATAGGAAATGGACAAAACACTTTGCATTTTCATGCATCTGAGATGTACACCAACATACCTAAATGTATCGGATTCACGACTGAGGTACCAAAATAAAGGTTCTAAAAGTACGTCACATTTTCATGTAACTTGCCTATTTTAATAATATCAACAGGTCCAACATGCATTTTCTTCATCTTGGCTGTAAGCTCAAACTTTAAGTGATTAATACACAACTTTTTTCTACTTTCTATATATCTTTTCAGTTCTTGGAGCCTTGGAGGGTTATGTTTGTATACCTGCCAAGTAGCTCCTCCAGAATAACCCTTTGAGAAGGTGTTACATAGTGAATGCAACTTCTTGGACACTGCCCAACTGCAAGCTGTACCTGATAATCCTCACCATGACCTAATTAAGACAGAAAGAAAGAGAATAGCTGAAGGACCTGGGAGGAGGTTCTGTTTTTTTCTTTCAAAACAATCCTTGCACCAAAAACAAAACAAACAGACCCAACAAATCCCACGCACATGTAGAGATCCCTTTTTT